ACATATCACACAGCTGGCATCATTGCAGCTGTAAGGAAAGTGACTCCAGCTTGTTTTCTATTTTGACACGTGACATTTGAGCCTAATAGGTTGTGCAATACTGTAACCTAACCAAGTGAAGTGTGGCCCAGTTGACCTCTGAATGTAGTGAAGATAAGAGGAAATGTAATAGTGCAACATTGAATGAAATCCAAATCTACCAGCTGAACCCTAGATGCTGACTGAAGAGACTTCAGACATGCAGTTTTGACTTTCCATCAGAAAAAATGTTCCGCTGGGACAAAGAGTGGAACATGTCTTTCGCAGGCTGTGGCTTCAGGAGTATTTACTACCTGGGAGCTTTGAGCTGTATCCTGGAGCGGGTGCCGCAGCTGGTTCGAGGAGCTTCTAAAATCGGTGGAGCTTCATCTGGTTGTCTTGTTGCTGCAGCTGTGACTGTCGGCTTTCCCATTGGTGAGTCACATTTACAATCCACATGACAGTTTGTCCAGCTCTTCAAGATGAGTTGTATTTTCATTGTGTAACATTAAGTGGTAAGGCCTAACATATGGTGTCAGATTGTATTAGGATCCTTCTTGTAACTTGTAAATATTTTATTTTATTCCTTAGCCTCTCACTGGCAGTGTAGACGGCAGTATTGATATGGTTAATAAAGATTATATTAAAGAACGGGTAAGAGTCGTGTTTCGATTTGGCATCCTTTTACATTTTCAGTGTCTGACATAAGGTGTGTTTACAAATGTGTACTTCTTTTAGTAAATGTTCCCACTGATAAAGGCTGGAGATATGCTATCTCAAAACAAATGCTGAGATTGATACTTGGCAGGTTCACTGACACACCGTGCCCATGTACCAGTGAGGGCAAACTCCATTCACTTTCTCACAAACACGCACAACAATAAAACACTATGGTAATATTAAAGCCCCATAATATATCTGATTATACACTTTGATAATACAACAGTAACCTTAAATTGTAAGTAGAAGTGATTAAAAGATGAATCATGGCAACAAAACAAAGAACAGTGAGATCATCCTCAGCTGTCAGTATCGCAAAGAGTTATTGATTTTCTATAATACCCTTCAAAGGTTAAAAAAGAAAATTGACAGTATCAAGTGTCATAACTAAATCATGTGATTAATACTTTTTATTAATTCCCACATTCCTGAATAATAAATGTGGCTGTAACTTTCCCTGAACAGTGATGTTTGCTGCATTTTTTCACAGAGCAGTTCTGTAATGAAGTGTTGAAAATGGCGAGAGAGGCCAGAAAGCACACCCTGGGAGTTTTCCACCCAGGCTTCAATATGCTGCAGATGATATGGGTGGGCCTGGTGGAGAAGCTTCCAGAAGACGCCCACCTTCGGGCATCCGGAAAGCTCTGCGTGTCCCTCACCAGAATGGCTGATGGGAAGAACGTTTTGGTGTCAGAGTTTAACAGCAGAGAAGAGCTGATTCAGGTGGAACTGAGTAGTGAAACCGTCTGCAGCTTTGTCTGATCACAGATTTGAAGCTCCGATTTGTGTGTCTTCTTTTGCAGGTTCTGATGTGCAGCTGCTTTTTCCCTGTTTACTGTGGTTTCACCCCACCTTCATACCGTGGAGTGGTGAGAAGAGACCTTCATGTTTTTGTAGAAGGATCAGAAGGAAATGGCTGTCAAACAGGATCTGTTCTCTATAAAGCCTCTGTAATCAGAAATGTTGAAATTCTATAAATCTCTTTTTCAAGAGCTTCCTGACCAAGACAGGCAACAACATCAATCATGATAAACAACACCCTCTCATCGGTACAGCAAGCAATAAAAATTTTGAATGGATCAAAACCTGTAAAACCCCAAGTCTGCATTAAAACAGACAAATTATTAAACATTAATCTTAGCTCTCCACTGACATCTCTCATCAGCATTATAATCATTACATTTCCAAACCTTGTAAGCCAATTATTTTGTATCTGTGCAGTCATATGAGTCATTTCCCTTTGCTGTCAGCACTACATGGATGGAGCCCTGAGCAACAACATGCCGTTGTTCGAGCAGAGAAACACCATCACTATGGCTGCGTTTTCAGGCAAGAGCGACATCTGCCCCAAGGAGGATACCTTCAGCTTCTTTGAGGTGCAGTGCTGCAACCTGAGTTTTCAGTTCAACACCCGCAATGTGCACCGCGTCTGTACGGCCTTCCTGCCTCCCAGACCTGAGGTGTGTCCCTGTCCAGATTTATTGGACTTTAAAGCAGTTTATACATGGTTCTTAATTAACTGCTTTGACAGCAGTGACAAATTTCTCCTATTCATCTCTACCATGCAAAAAGCATGTATTCAGTGTGAAACACAATCAGTCCTCTGCACTGTAAGAGAGGAGCAAACCTTCATGATTCTTATGTTTGCACTTGACAGAAGTTGGCTGAGATCTGCCACAATGGCTACATGGACGCACTTCGTTTCCTGAGAGAAAGAGGTGAGCTCATCCATCTTCATCCTCCTCACAACTACACATTTAACTAAATCATGTAATCAGTCAACTGTCTGTTGTAGATCTGCTCGGGACACAGTGTCTTCCCCCCAGTGTGATGGTGGGGATGAATACAGCCAAACCTCCTTGTTGTGAGCTGGTGAAGGAGTCCAAGAAGATTCTGCTGAAAGGACTAAACCCTCTGCAGGAAGATCATTGTTGGCTGGACCAGAAAGTCATAGAGAACCTTCCAGCTGGCTTAAAGAAAGGTACGGGGAGACATGTGGGTTGAGGGGTCATAGGTTTGATCTGGTACCATCCAGGGTAGCTTTGAGCAAAACAATGAAGTCACTGAATTCTTAAAGTTTTCAAGTACTGGGAGAAAGAAGGAGAGAGAGAGTAAGCTAGTGACCTAACAGTGGCACAGTATGTGAAAGCCAAGGAGTACTAACAGCTAGGGTTACCAGTTATTGCTATTTCACTAGGCACAGTAGGGCTGTGTGGTAGTTACATTTAGTTCATCTTAGTTCCTTTCATCTATAAACTGACCATAGATTATGATATCCTGTAGAAATATTAATGTGTTTGTCTGAATGTGTGTGCTAGTCCTGTGTGAGGCATGCAGGGACAGTCACGGTGGTGCTGGTCGGTGGTCTCAGCTCTCTGAGTTTGGTCCAGTCAGAGTGGTTTTCTATGTGCTGAGCACCGTCTTGGTGTCCATTGCGCGGATCTTCTTAATCACCAAAAGGTAAAGACCAGTGGTTTTCATTTCTTACAAGCATTGATTAAGCAGCCAAAGGAAAAGCGTTCTGTTGCAGATTAATCAATGTTAAGATGAAACCACTGGAAACAGACGGTCACTTAGTTTTCTGTGCTGAACACAGACCACCTACAGATCCTAAGTGCTACACCATGACAGGTGATCGACCATGCACGTTTTGTAATTCACTGTAATTCCCAGGTGCATAAAGAATTACAGATAGATACAGTATACTGTATGTCAGGGTCTCAGGCAATCAAAATCTCCGGGTCCAAGACAGTACCTCCCAAGTGCCTTTAAAAATTGTATCTCAAATTGAATATCTTTCTAGTTTAACCGGTTACATCTCTGTCATTGTTTATGCTGTTTGTATTGTGATAGTGTGATGCAGTTGGGCTGTGCAGTCACTTGGAGGCTGTTGATGTACAGCACAGAGTTCTGGAGACAGCCGAGGAGCAGTGGAAGCAGGGATCCCAACAGGTGTGTACATTTACATGTGCACACATGTAAATATGTACAGTGTTTTTCTTGTTTAATCTTCCTAAGTGAAAACACTGTATAGTTACTGTAAGTTCTTCTTTGTTTACACTCCTTCTGTATAACCACAACATTTGTGCTGCTGTGAAACAAACACAGATCATGTCATTGCAGTAGCACCACTAACAGTAACATCTTTTGGTCTCTGTGTCTTCAGGTAGGGTGTCTCCAGAGCAGCGCTGCAGCAGCAGGTGCTCTGGCTCAGACCTCAGTGACCAGACAAGGGGAGATGAACACATTCAAACTTTGACCTCAACAAGCACCACAAATCCCAATAAAGCTCTTTACTCGGACGACACCTCTACCTTTACAGCTTCACCCAGCCTCCGGAAATCAGACACACCTGCATGTGGCTGGTCAGTTTAAACCACTGAGGTAAACTGACCAGTAGAGCAAAAAGTACTCGGATTGTTTACTTAAGTAGTAATACTACAGTGGAAAAATACTGTTACAAATAAAAGTCCTGCATTCAAACTTTACTTAAGTGAAAGTACAAGCATAAAAATGTACTTGAAGTACTGAAAGTAAAAGGACCTTCGCATTCTTTATATGTTCATATTAAAAAAACAAGTATAGAAAAAGCACCATCGGGATATTTTAATGGACAAATGTTTCATAGAACCTCTTGTGAATGACATTTTCATAACCATTAAACATAATTCTAAAATTCCTAAAGCAATAAAGTGATAAAAAGTTAAAACCCATTTGAGATTTGTAACCTATTGAAAGGCGCACCACAAATTCCTTATGTGGAATCCATGAGAGGTCTGGCTTCACAGAGTGATCACCTTGCATCGAGGTCAGTTCATAGCACCACAAAAGTAAAAACGAGCTAAATCCTCAGTTCACGTTGAGGATCACACAGGTTCGCACTCAGCCATTTTTATCAAATAACCATCTGGAGTTTACTGTCAAAACAGTAGATATCCATGTTTCCACCTACTGCATCATGGTGCAGTATGGTACAGTACGAAGCCAAGACAAGTGTTCGGGTACACGATCTTCCACAGTGACAGTCAAGCATCATCAAGTTCTGATTTCACATATTCAAAAAGACTGCCATGAAGAGGATCATACATGTATACAAGACCACACAGAGTGCAGAAATAATATCCTGAAAATTTTCTAAAAATCCGTCTACATGTGTATATTCCACTCAGTCACTAACATAAAGGAAAATCTAAAACCTGACAAAAGAGAAAGAGCTGGATGATGTCTCTGCACGTCAATGCAGGGACAGCGAAGCCTTTATCCCTCATACGCCGCCGTCTTTTGGTCCACCACTGATGTCTGGGATTTGATCTGCAAAGGACTCTATCAACCACTGTCCGTCTGGGATCTGGCCCTCTGCCGTTTGTGACGTGGTCGCCTCCTCTGCTCCTGAGGAGAGAGGACAAACAAATGCAACCACCGTCATTCAAGAATTCAGCACCATACTCAAGACTCTCTACCACATCCACAGGACAGATGATAGGAAAGTTCTAATGCCTCAGATGACCAAGACCTAGAACAGATGTGTTAAGACATACAAGGTGTTTACGTTAAACAACCTATAATGATTCTGTAAAATGTTTGGACTGGATTACATCTGCAAAAGTAAATTTACAATGCTGTAATAGTGTGAATCCGAATATGTTGTATACGTATAGCACTCTGCATTTAAGCATTTGTATTCACATCCATTTCTAGTTACACTAGAGCTGAAATGATCAGTCAATGGACAAAATTAATCTGCAGCTATTTTGACTGAATAATCATTTCTTGTTTCCTAAGACAAAAGACCAGACTTCACTGATTCCAGCTTCTTCTTCTCTACAGTAGTAAACTTCATATCTTCAGGTTTTTAGGATAATAGATAAAAACAAGCTATTTAACATTTGTCACCTTTAGCTATGAGGTACTATAAAGGGCATTTTTCATGATTTTCTGACATTGTATACACAAAAGAATTAACTGAAAACAACCAGCAGAAAACATTATGAAAACAGACAGTGTAAGCCCTAATTTACAGGAAATGTCGGTGTGTTCTTATTGGATCGGGGGGAATTTAAACAAATGTTGCCTTCACTTTTTTCCTTTTTGAATGTGTTTTTTTCCTCCAACCTTCAATTAAAGTTAAGCACGTTTTAACATGAGATGGCTTTGTATTACTCTTACTGCCATTGTTTTGTGGTCATGATGCAGAATGGAGAAGGAGCCACCGTTGCTAAAGAAAGTGGCATGAGGCCTTCTGTATCCTGACCTCCCCCCAGTTTCAGCAGTGCCAGTCTTTGGTTACCTGTAGTTTCTACAGATGAGAATGTACAGTGACCGTTGATCTGGCTTTGGGCTTGACCCCCTTCGGGTCCTTTCTCAATATATGCTCCACCATAGGCGTCCTCATAACCAGGATCGTACTGCTCCTCCTTTATTGCCAGTCTCTTGGCGTCCTCTATCGATGCAAAAAAGGGGAGAGTAAACAAAGATGTACAAACCAAACATGGGATTTTTCCATCCTATCACAAGGTCTTGTCATGAACGCTGCAACATTTTAAAAATGTGTTTTTTCAAACTATTTTACTACACGAAGTTATTTTGAATGACTGTCATGATGCTATATACTAGTTTCACATTGAGTTAAAAAGAGTATATGCCATTTACTAGCTACAGTAAATACAGTTTGGATAACTTGAATTTAAGCACAGCATGTCCACTGATCCATGTGGTTACCCTTGGCCAGCTGCAGGTCAAACGTGTAGTTGACCTCCTGGATCTCAGTGCTATGTTGGATGCCCTTCAGCTGATCTCTGAGCTCCTTCAGCTTGATGTAGAAGTGGACTTTGTCCTGAGCACGAGGGAACTGAGCACAGCGAGCGCTGGATGAGGGCATCAGATATAGAGCCTGTGCAAGGGAAATGACCATCAGGTCAGTTCTTCAAAGGCAGAATTTATGTTGAACACTCGATTTCCAAACTGGCAGCTCTTCTTTATGAAACTGCAGTGGTTTTACTTTTCACTCTTAGGCAGAACAAATATTATGTCTTGCAATTTTGAGAATTATTAAGGTTACATGGTTCCCACTTTGTGAGTTGTCACAGAAATACCAATTTGCATCAATTACTGATCAGATCAATTCCTCTACTGAAGAATTACAAACATTTTATTTTAACCTAGTATTGACCTTATGAACAAGCTGTATAACTTTTTATATAAATCTAAATCTTCCATATTTGATCTCAATTTTTTTTCTAACTTTGATAAATGAAGTCTAATGAAAATAAACAGCATCTATAATATAACATGTCAGACACTTGTGTGATAATGACATAACATCCACTGTGGATTCATTTAAGTGAGAGGCCAATTTGAAAATGTGTCATTGACTTTCACGAACATCTGAGGAATCCTTTAAAAGGTTGTGAAGCATTTTAGTGCTCACCACGTCACAGTCGGGGATCTTGTGTGGCTGCAAACCAAATTCAAGATTCTGAGGTTTTTTACCAAACAACTCTCTGCAGAACATTTCATAGATACCTGTGAGGGAACAGGAGAACACAGCCTTAATTCACTTTAACAAATCACTTTATTGTAGCTGTTGCTCTGAGTAGGAGAGTGCTTACATTTTCCATTGAAAACAGCAATAAGAGGCTTGAATTTCTTTAACTTCTCTACGAGAATTTTGCCTCCTTCACGTAACTCTTTACTGTTGAGATGAAAAGAAAAATGGTTGCAATAGTGTTTCAACAAAACTTTTATCTCAAAGCTAAAAGAAATCTCAGCCAATCACAGTCCGACATTACTCTTCTTGTCTAGTAACTTCAGGTTGCCCACTCGTTGCCCTAAATATAGATTTCCTGAGTGATGTCAACAGTCCATCTGTAGACCCACCTTGAGAGGTCTTTGCTCCCTGGTGTTGCCCTTGCCACCATGTTGGTGAAGCCCATCCTGTACTTGACAGGCAGGGTGTTGTCATGCATATGGTTGAGTTGCTCCTCAGTAAATCCAGACAAAAACAGGCACTTCCCTGAAATTAAAAAAGTTGGTCATTCATCTTATTGACTAACAAAAACAGATGTATTTTACTGAAGGCATGTTTCCTGAACACGCTGGTGATCTACTGTTAACAACATTAACGCTGTATAATTTTGTACAGCGCCCGCTGTTCTACTTGAGTTTTGCCGCTGACTAACACAAAGTACAAGACCCTTGTTTTTCTGTTGTAATGTGAACTTGCCTGTAATGGTGCCACTGCATTGTGACTAGCTTTTTCCATTACTCTAGGAGAGTTCAGTAAAAATCAATGAATGGCAATATTTTATATCTTTTGAATTTGACCTGTATAACTCACTTCAGTGTAAAAGTCCTAATTTTAAAGGCTTAAAACTCAAACTGAACCTTAAAAAAAGTATCATATATGCCCTTCTCTTCTAAATTTCTAAAAACCTCTGAACAACTAAAACTATCTACCGGTTGTTGTTGCAGACCAGCACAGGGCCTGTATTTTCCCAATCACACATATCGAAACCTATCTGGTCGCAAAACTTACAGAAATGATTTCCAGGTCCTGGAAACCATCGTCCAATGTAAGCTGCCATTAACCCTGGATTTATACCAATCTGAAAGCAAAATGTTTTTTTAAGCTTACAAACTCAAATTAATTCCAGTAGCACAGTGCTTGAGTCTACTGTAAAACAGATGGAGAGAACCTTACAATGACATAGTCCAGGTTGTAGTCCAGCAGGTCTGGCAGTGTTTTTTTCATGACCTCCTCTTCTGTCATTCCCTTGAAGCGGTCCACTTTCCTCTTCACCTTTTTGAAGCTCTCATCAATCTTCTCCTGCTTGCCACCTATCTGAGCCTCAGTGGTCTTCTTGGGCTTAGGACCAGGTTTCCTCTTAGGTGCATTTGGGTCCTTAGGTGGCTTTTGTGCTTTGGAGACTTTAGGTGGTTTGGGTGCCCTAGGCTCCTTCGGTTGAGCTGGTCTGCCTCTCTTTTTGGCAGGGGCTATAAGAGAAGGTAGGAAAGGGAATATCAAAAGCAAAAACTATATGAAGTGTACATCCTACTCCTGTACTTTCCTGAATTGTTGTGTTGGCACTCTCCATCTGAATATTATAGGGTGTCTTAATATTACTTCATTAGTTCAATTCTGGATTGTTTGGTAGCATACCAAGCATCTATGTAAACCACAATATTAGTGGAAATAATTTCATAAAGACCATTATATTTAATAAAGCTGCCATTAACTTACAAAGAGCTTCTCTAAAAAAAGCGTACTCACAATATTTTCAATAAGACAAATTTATCTACAATACAGGTCAACAATTTGGACACATTTTCACACTGCATTCGATGAACTTTGGGCTGGTATATATACAGTGTGTATACATACATACATACATACATATATATATATATATATATATACAGTGCCTTGCGAAAGTATTCGGCCCCCTTGAACTTTGCGACCTTTTGACACATTTCAGGCGTCAAACATATATATATA